CTGTTGGGGCTGCGCAGGGACAAGTTCCTCCGGTGACACGAGCTCCGAGCAGCTCCCGTGCAGCCCAGCCACAGCACTCGTGTCCCCGTGGGACCCGGCCCCAACGCTCTGGGGCACCGGGCACCTGGGGCCCCACGCAGGCACCCRGGACGCAGGAAGCYGCGCGACAAGGGGCCTGGCTGTCCCTTTGGCCCAGCGCCCCAGCTCGCCCCGCTCCCGCAGCCAGGCTGCCCTGGCTTTCCTGCTCGCTCGCTGCTCTCACACGTGGGACAGCATCGTCCTCCCGCTCCAGGCTGTGCTGGGAACCCTGGCACACGTTCCTTCTCCCGGAGCACATGGGGCCAGCCCAGTGCATGAGGGGACGGGGCGGGACAGCCCAGACCCACCAGGCTGAGCTCCCGCGTGGAGCCCGCAGCGACGGCGCGCGGCCCGAGGCCGCGGCCTCACTGCCCCAGCGCTGGTGCAGGCAGCGGCCCAGGGGCAGAGAGCTCTGCCCAGCTGCCCCGCTCCCCAGGGAGGGGTCTGCCTCCTGCCACAGCGGCACGGAGGGGACCAAGCCCAGAGCAAGGAGCAGCGCAGAGACGCCCAGCGCCCACCCTGCCCGGCTCCAGCTGCGCAACGAGGGAGCTCAGGCGGGAGCAGAGGGGTGAGGCTGTGCGCTCGTGGTCATCACTCACAGCGGGAGACAACCGCTTTCCTCGGACATGTACAGAAACACCAGCACACTAATCCTCTTTTTTTTTTTTTTTTTTTCATTTTTTGAAATCTTACAGTATCTTTTACAAAACAGAAGCATGTTTTAACACCACATTAAACTTGTTGCATTGGGCACACTGCTGTGCACTTGACTTTGAGTTCACCTGCTTCACCCTCCTGCCTCTCACCCGGAGGGCACTCCCACCTTCCTGCAGGATATCTGTATCCCTCACACTGCAGTCATGGCTGCTCCATGTGCGTGTTCAGGGGATGCTCCTCTTGATGCCGCTGGCAGCCGCCTTCCTCTTTCGCAGCCTCCCGCGCTTGCAGCAGACTCCCCACGGCAGCCGCAGCAGCAGCAGCAGCAGCAGCAGCAGCAGCAGCAGCAGCAGCAGGACGGCAGCGGACGCGCTGCTGCGGGACACACTGGGCTGCGACACGGGCGCCGCGACAGCCGCTTCCTGCATCTCCAAGAGCAGCAGCCGCAGGCAGGGGCCGTTCTCGAGCCACTCACCTTCGTGGTCACGGCCCGAGGAGCCGTCCAGCAGCCGCCTCCCATCGCTGCTGACCGAGGCCCGGCGGCCCCGTCCCCGGCCGTGAGCAAGGGGCGGCCGAACGGGAGGCCCCGCCGCGCTCTTGGGGCCCACGTAGGCGACTCGAAGGTACCGCTGACACCCCCTTCCACCTGGGAGGAAGAGAACAAAAAGTTTCTTTTTGTTTGATTTAAAGGTAAAGTTAGATAGAGTTGGTTGCATTCCTTTCAACCAGCTTTTTGACTTGTGCCCTTGTCGGCACAAGCACTCCCAATGCTTCTTCAAGACCTGCAGTRTTTATCACCCACCCCAATGTTCCCCCCTCCTGTTATCTTAAATCCTTCAGAAACATCAAGGAGCTGCTTTTAGAGAGCTGCTTGTCTGCAGGCTTTTATAAAGTACTTTTTTCAAAAGAGATTAAACCAGGGTCCTTCYTCATCTCCATGATCTGTACCAGAGTGTTTGCTGCTTGTCATAATTAAATTAAATTGGTCTTTTCTGGGCAATGTCAGATCCCAGGGCCTATATAACTCGCCGAGCAGCCAGGGCAACKGGGCTCCGAGGTTAATTTGGGGCTGCCCACCTCCCTCACCACATACCTTATAGTCAGCGCCCACCTTGAGGGCAGATCCATCTACTCCAGGCAYGCTGCTCACCGGCTGAAACAGGGATGATTCCGAAGGAAACGGGGCATCAAAAGGGACCTTGTGGAGGTGCCTGTCAGTTCCATGGGGCTGGTTTCGCTCCTGGAAAGCAGAGAGGCTCCGAGAGCAGCAATGCGCGCGACCAGCAACACATGTGCAGCACGCAGCCCCTCAGGGGCTGACGGCGTCAGTGCAGGACAGAGCAGAGCGTCCCTCGGGCCAAAGACACCCTTAAAAAATGTCCCCTCTCCCCAGAAACCTCTCGCTGTTGCTAATCCAAATGAGGACAAAACCTCGCTAGTCTTAAAGCTGCTTCCTCCATTTTCCAGACAAACCTGAACGCCCCTTTGTAGGCCAGGGCTGGCACAGCTCTCCAGAGGGAAGGCAGAAGCCTCCTCCCGAGATCCTACCCGCTATGCCACATCCCTGCAAAGGGTGCTGCGAGGTGCCCTGGAAGGGCCTCAGCGCCACATGTAGGCATATTCCTCCCTATGCCCCACGTGGCCATTTGTGGGCCACATTTGTGGGCTGCAGCACAGAGGACACCCATAACCTGTGCAGTCTGTAACCCCCTCACGCTGCTTTGGCACCTACCATTCCGTAGGAGGCTTCCTGAACCGCACACGGCAAGAAGATCTGCACGTAGACACACACAGATGTAGGCAAGCAGCAACATGTATGTATATATATATATAGCGTATAGTCACCTACACGCTACATATCTACACACACACAACATATATTTGCATACATATATCTATGCATTTACTTTGTAYTTTTATAATATATATGCACATGTATCTACATCAATGTGTACATATTATACACACCAACTGAACCGTCAAAATATATACACACATATATACACATATATATAATTTTTATATATACTTATGCACATAGGCCATATGCAGACATGCATATATAGTATGTATATATGTATATATATGAATATATACACATTACACACGATATGGTGTGCACTTAGACATGCGTATATACACATACGTATGTAGATATGCACCCATATGTGTAAATCTGCACTCTGCCTAAGTGTATATGCACAATATCTAAGAACAACATATTTGCATACACCTCATCTACCTTATACATTTATCTGTACATTCGATAYACGTCTATCTGCACGCAGCTCTGCATTTAATGTTTATACAGAACACACATGGGGCTAATGCTATAGCTGCATATAAATGTGCATCTGCATCCATTTGTATTTTAAACGCCACAAACCTGTGTCTAAAAACACACATGCCCTCTGTACAAACACATAAAACGTACATATACCCACTATATATAATATATATACTCTTTATATACTTACGCTATCTATACAATGCGTATCTCTGTGTAGTTACACCTATGTGTATGTGCCACACGTGCACTTATGCACAATACGCACTGTGTGTGGGTGTGCACATACACATATCTACTGCATTGTGTATACGTATATAGGCACGTTTACATAGATGCCAAGGTGTTTGTAGTGTGTGCATATGATAATACACTCTGGGATGTATTCTATATAGGTATGCCTACATATATTTGGATCTGTGCATGTATTCTCTCACACCTTCACGGTGTATATTGTGCACGTGTATGTACACCTATGTATATACAATAAAACAGTACATACAACCTAAATACATCACATGCCCTGAAAGGCCCAGAGTGACAAAGTCCCCACTTTGTCCCCAACAATCAAGTTTTTATTTACTTATTTTCTGCTTTTCCAAGCTTGCTCATATGACMTAAGAAAACTTAATCCCATATTTTAATAAAATATAAACATAGACTATATTTGTATATTGCAAATACAGTATCTGCTGCATGACACATAACTAGAATTGCAAATTACCAAGTGAAAACACACGCAGCCCAGACAAGCAGACACTGCACGTACATATTGCCCCCTTGCAACCACCCCGACCGCGGGGCACCCGCACGCGCTGCTGAGACGAAGCAGAGCCCGTCCCGCAGACGCTCGGGCACCCGCACGCCTTCACAGCGCAGTATGGAGCACATACGTTAGCCCAGTAGGCTGACATTAACGTCGATACTCAGAATAAATGAACGGCGTCCCGCTGTGAGGCTGAGCTGGGCAGGCACCACCAGGCCAACTTACTGTTGTTTTGGGGGAAGGGATCCATAGGCCCACATAGCTCACGGGAGCTGCCAAGACGGTGCCGGCCCCTGCGTTCCGGGACGCGTCCCGGCCCAAATCCCGCTTTGGGAACCAGAGGGTGGACGGGTCCCGGCGCTGCCCGCACCCCACGCCAGCCCCTCTGACACAAAGGCAGCCCTTCTGTCCGGGTTAGACACCAAATTTATTGCRTAATACTGAGCTCTGTACACACACATAGAAAATAAACATTTCATATAACATTTGTCTTTAATGCTGCATTATAAAGAGGTTGAAGGGCTCTCAGTGTAGCCACCAGCTTGTCTTTAAAAAAAAAGAGATAAAACAGAAAGTCAAAATCCTTTTGTAACGCGGTGCAAAGTTCAATATTATATATTGAACATGGTGCATAAATACTGGATGTCCTAATAACAAGTCCATTCCAAAACCACCATAGGCTTAAAAGGAGATTTACACCAAGACTTGAAAATGGGGGATCATTCAAATTTCATTTAACGGGGTACTGGGGTTAAGAGGATCAAGGTTCTCCGGTCTTGCAGGATGTTGAGTTCATGCTTCTGCCTGTTCAACTCCTAATGTACATTGCCAAGCTACTTCATACAGCTTGTCCTTTAGAGGCGCCCGGCACTCACTGGGCAAAACAGCCGACAAGCGGAAGGGCTCCTCTGCAACAGCTTAGACCCTGGAAAACAGTCCCAGCTGCGGGAAGGGCAGCAGTCTCCAAGGGGAGGGCTCGCAGGGAGGCAGCTTTGGGGCTCCGGTTTCCCGGCGTCGGGGCCCGCGGAGCCGGGCAGCACGCGGGGCCCCGGCGGCACAAGCGGCGCCCTCGCCCTGCGCCGCAGCTACGCGGGCGCTCAGCAGGACCCCGGCGCCCAGCTCGGCCCCCCTGCACGCCTACCCACAGAGGCACACAACACCAGAGAGGCAATTGGAGCAACCCCTCGTTATGGGTACAGTTTGTTCTTCCAAAAGCCCGAGCGCAACCCCTGCTCCAGGGGAGCCTTTTGTTACAGGGCGTTTTTAAGCAGACGCTGCGTGGGAACAACATTTGAGAGGGAGGAGGACAAACAAGGCAGCCCCAGGCAGAGCTGCACCAGAACCCACACACTGCCCTTGGAGGTCACAGGGGACATCCCAGCCCTATAGGGACCCCCCTGCCCGCACCAAGGGGCAGAGGGGGTGCATCCGTTCGAAGCAAGCAAGAACCAGCTTGCCTTAAAAAGGCCGGGGGGAAAGGGGTAGGGTAAAATCACAGCTTTTCAAGGAGGAGATCACTGTTTCATTCCAATTTCCCCTCATAGCCTAAAATGCAAAGAACTTTAAAATATTTAAACTGGACCAAAAGAAGAGGTAARTCTGTGTGTGCAGGGGCAGTAAAATCAAACTACATGGAGTTGCTGGGAGAGCAGTGGTGCCAAGTGAAAAGGGAAACAATAAAAAGTCCCTCTAGACTGATTTTCCTTCAATGGATTAGATGAAATTCAAAGCAAGAAGCTCTCCCTGATGAAATCCCAGAAAACACTGACAGCATCYGGCTGAGTCCCTGCCTCATCTGTATCTATTATTACTACTAATTATACTTTTCCCCCAAATGCTCTGATCCACTCCCTTATAAAAATAAAGCCAACCCCACCGTTTCTTCCCTCCGTACCCAAGTGTCCGTGCCTCTTCCCTACCGGTCAGGCTAAGCTAAAGCCCTCGTAGTGATCGATGGCCTGGATGAGGCGGGCGCTGAGGACCTCCTTGCTGCTGTACTTGGGCAGGTCCAGCAGGTTGTAGCAGGTGTGGGCCACGGGCAGGTACTGCTCCCCGCTGGCTGTGGACTGGATGACGATGCGCAGGCTCGACATGCCGTAGATGGGGATGCGGTCGCTGCCCGTCAGGAACACTGGGAAAAGCAGAGGGGAGGCAGGTGGGTCAGGGTGGGYGAGACGGGGCCCGGGACAGAGCCCTGGCGTGCACATCTTGGCAGAGGACAGGCTGCATCGCTACAAGACACTCACAGAGAAATTTCTTCTTCTTTTCCAAGGGAAATGCGTGGAAGGTCTCCCAAAACATTCTCACGGTTGGGTGTGTCGCAGTGTAGTCTCCTTTATAGACAGCGCTCTGTTCAAGTCAGAAAGTCACATCATTTCACCTGGCACTACAAAGCAGAGACTAGGCAGAAACCCAAGCTGGTCTCTCCTCGTGTCTGGGGTCAGATCCGCGTGTGACGGTGGTGACAGAGAGCACAGGATGTGCCACGGGCAGTCCTGCAGCTACAAACCCAAACAGGGCTCTCCAGCACTGTGCCCAGGAAGGTGCTGCGCCCCCAGCCACGTGAGTCACTCACAGGGGCGGTAGGGAACCCCGGGGTGCCTGTCCAGGCTGCGCTCGGGGCCACAACGGTGTGCTCTGCCTTGCAAAGCCAGCTCTGGCGCGGAGCCTGGGCCACAGCAAGTGACTTGCTGACCTATGTGCTGCGAGAAGGGACAACTCTTGCTCTGTGCCCACAGCTTGTGGCTCTCTGCTTTTTCCCCTGTGCACCGAAGTGAGTTTTATTCTGGATAAAGACCCAATACGGTCATTCTGCTTAACCCTTCAGCTTAAGGCTTCATCCCTAGAAATGGGATGCCTCCTCTCCTGTGCTTTCTCATGCCCAATTCCCTGTGCAGTTTCATCAGTGGCAGGAGAGCCCAGTAAGATCTGACCTTACATGTGAGTACTGACAGTACTGACTCTCACATGTAGAGAGAGAGACATCCGTGGTTCATCACATCTCATGCTCCAGACAAGCGCCCATCTCCCCCAACTGCCCCATCCTGGTACTTGTGAAAAAGCAGAGAGGTAAGGCMCGGCTTACCTCCTCCAGTTCCTCCCAGTTGTAGTTACTGTTGCCAACTATCATGGCCCTGAGCTCTGTGGGCTGGAAGAGCTCCAGGACTTTCCCACCACACACTTTCAGGAAGCCACTGGAAAAGGCCGTGTACCACTCGTGGATGGAGAGGTTGAAGATGTAATTCACATAGGCTTCAACAAATTCTTCCCTAGTGCATTGAGAGAGAGCAGGCAAAGGAAAGCACGTTTATTCATACGGCTGAGCAGTGGCATGGCTAGTCTTCCTACAGAGCAATTGTGGCGTGCTCGGCAGGGATTAAAGAGAAATCTCCTAGAGTATTCAAAGTAAAATAGCCAAACTGTTCAGCAGGCCAGAATTAAATGCTTCTGCCTGTGAYGCATCCTGCATGCATCAGGCTCCTGCAGGTTCCCCCCACTGCCTCCCCCTGAGCTGAGTCACTGTAACTTCAGCCACCAGGTAAACACATCCCCCTCCTCCTCTGCTCTCGCATTGCCACGTTTAAGAGGTGCAGGATAGCATGAAAACAAAATTAAAACTGTCCYGTAATCATTGGCCAGAACCTTGTGCCAGGCCCAGGCCAAACTCTTGTGTCTGGACTTTATTAGGAGGTTGAGCATATTTATTATACTCTCTCTTTCCTTTTCTTAGGGCACCATAATTAGAGTGCAGCACTAGAATTTTATTTGTGCAATGACTTAAAATATTTCCCCTGTCATCCCCTGATGACAACTCATCAGCCTGTGTAATGTGGCAGCCTGAGACACGACACTAGCCTGTGTGGGCGGAGCAGCTGCTCTTGTCTGACATTTGAGAGAAACTCACCCTTTCTACCACAACCTGAGCAGCACGGGAAGAAATGCCCAGTATCTGAGTCTCTAGCTGGGGAGGCCATAACTGAAAGAAACATTTTGACCTTTTGGAAGAGGAAATCTCATGGTATATGCCATGTAAAAACAGTCAGGGATGGGTGGGAAACCTTAGAATAAAAATTAAGCAGCAGACTAATAAATGTGAAAGCCTGGAGCAAGAAACCACATAGCAAAGGGGAATTTACTGTCCACACACTTGTTTTACTGCCATTTTCCTGGKAGTCACCTGAGTATACCAGAAATTCAAGCTGACTTAGCGCTTAACTGTTGCTTAATCCCTCTCTGTTATGGTCATGAATGAACTTTCTAACAAGAACATTCTCTGTCACATCACCCAACACAAACCCTAAAGGAGAAGGGGAAAATGCTGCCATTTCCTCCTTGGCATTTTTCAGGGAAAGCAGCCCTGTGAATTTTTCAGTTCCCAGTGAACCTTGTACAGGCAGGAAGGGCAGTGCCCAAGGACCTGCACGCAGCTACTGAGGCCAGGAGGGCAGCAAACTGCTCCGGGGTGGAGGAAGCCCTGAAGCACAGCAAGGTGGATGAAATAGCAGCTTTGTCTAGACTCAGATTTAGAGGTTAACTTGAGTTCAACACGCTGGTCAAGACAAAGCAATTACATTCTGGAATGTGTTAAGCTGGTGCTGCTGCAAACCACCCTTTCTCCTCATTGATTTGCTTTTCTTGTTGCCCATGCTGACTTAAAAGCTGCAGAGTCTAAGGYGGATGCTCTTCCCAAACATTTGCTCTGAGCTGAAATCTTCCTCCCCCTAGGTCAGTGTGTCACACAATAAGAACACGGCCCTTCCTTTGAGAGTGAACATGGTCAACATAAAAGGAGACTACCACTGGCCTTTTCATTTTGACTTTATTGCACCAAGTGTAGATCAAATGCTCCTCCATATACCTGGAATTCACTTTCTCTATACAGCCGGACACATCTACACTGCTTCAGCTCCACTTGGATTTTGCATGGAGGCAGCTATCTAGCTGTAAAAAGGCACCCATGTATGCAGTGGGGAAGTAGCTAAGAAGGTAACAGACAATGCTTTTGTTACAGCAATAAATCTGAACCTTTTAAAACAATCAGATTAATATGAAATGACTTCATCTCCAGACTTGCCAGCAAGGTCTCCAGCAGCCCCAGCACAAGCCCCTAACCATGCAGCTGACTAATCACTGCATCACACAGTTTTGCCAGCACAGAAAGAATCTGAATGTTGCTTCAAGCAAGACAGGCCCTTGCAGAAATCCAATTACAGGATTACAAGAAGAAAATAGTTCAGCAGTTGGAAAAAAAAAAAAAGGAGGGGAAATGGTAGCAGTGCTGGTAAAAACTCTCAGGAGGTCAGTCAAAAGGGAAGGAGTCTATTTGTGTACYGCAGTGCCCTGCAGCTCTGCTCAGGCATGGTGGTCCTCCCGTCTATCAGGCACGCACAAGGGAATGCTYCCTGCTCCAGAACTAACGGCCTAAATAAGTTTCCTCATCTCAGTTTTGTTTTTTGGTCACGTACAGTTCCTGAACTGTCAGGGGAGATGAACTTTCCAGGGCCTCACGTTACGCTGCAATCTCTGTTTACCGTGTGCGAGCTGTGCTAAGGGTGCATGGGAAGGTCCTTTACAGGGCAGATACACATGCCAAGGGGTGTGCAATATTCTCTAAACATAGATGGAAAGATGTTGAAAATTTTCTAGTTTAAGGGCTACAGATGCCTAACAATGTTGAACTAGTCCTAGAATTTGCTCACGGTAATTTCTAATGCTCTTCCCAAATTYCATCTCATCCAAATTCTCCGTGGCCTTGTGTCTGACCACCACAAACCTGAGTCCATCCCTACATATGCCCCACTTACTTATTATCCTTCTGCACAAGAATTTTGTCTCCATCTTCCACCAGGTTCTTTTGCTCTGTCACACCATAGCTTTCCCTGCAGATCTATACACAAACAGAAAAGTAGTTTTATCAAAAATACTTCCCAGATCACGAGTCTACAACAAGATACAAGGTTCTCTTTCATAGTGGATTACTGCTACATGAAGGATGCAGTAGAGAGACCATTTCACATGGTCCAAAAAGGGCATATGCAAAGGGACTTTTCTTTGCTGCAAATGCCCTTTTTATTTCACCATTTTTTAGCATTTTTGTTTGCTATACAACTGCAATGCAAACCTGGAAGGGAACAAAGTTACCCTTGCAGGGATTTTTCTGGCATACCTGGCAAAGGGTATTTTAGGTATTTAGGTATCAATTTCTTGTCCATGGTAAAAAAAGGTATTGGTCACTATAAAAGCTGTTTTTAACTATAAACTATAATATAAATAATAGGGCTTCAATTGTACCATGACAATCACAGTGCTGACATATTAAATGTGTCTTACTGTAAAATTCAGGCAGAATGTCTCTTCTACATCTTCCCCGGGGTAATCTAAAAGCTGCTGAAGACTCCTACAAGAGGGGTAGGGAAAGAAAAGGTAAAACTAAGACATTCAGAAAAACAYACATTTAAAGGGAATAAGAAAATCAGCAAAAGCAAGTAGTATCATACACCTAGGTAACAGGATTACAAGAGAGAGAAACTCTGAGTAGCTTGAAGGGACATGAAAGAAATATGCTCCAAACACAGAGACATTTTGTCAGAATCAGGATAAATGCCATTCTACATGAAATATCAATATAACCCATACTTACCTGGTATAAGTAACCCCATTTAGGATTCTGGGCTCAAAACAGACTTACCTTTCTAGTTCTTAAGGCCTACTAGATAGTATAAACACCACACACAGGTATGAGGAGATAGAGGAAGTAAAAGTGGTGGGAAGTTATTTTTATATCCCATTATGCACAAATTGCTCTTGTCCTGTTCCTCTAAATCTCACTGCTCTCCTCTTGCTGTTTTACTTTATTATTGCTAAATGCAGCTGCAAGGTTTGCACTGATAAATCAGACAGCATCTCAGCAGAAAAAAAGGAAACAGCAGTCAGGAGAGAGCAACCTTAACCCCTCTGTGTGTCTCATGGAACTATGCCAAAGACATTCCATACCTCGCTCAGGAAAAGTCACCCCTTTGCCCCAGTCAGCCTCCTTCCTATCATCAGACCACGTCAGAGTTACGGTGGTCCAAGGAGCAGCTAAAAGAGGAGTTGCCCACAGGAGCACAGTTCCCATGCTGGGATGCATCGTGAGCCGCATGGCAGACCAGCTTGCTAATCCAAGCCTAACTAAAGGGCCTAACTGAGGCCACGAGCCAGGATCCTGCACRCAGTCTCACTGGCGAATGACAGGCCCTCACTCCCTGCTTTCTAAGCTATGTGGRAGGCCCCTTTTGGACATTTTAATACCCCTTTCTTTTGATACACTATTTCTTTGGTGTCAGACAGGTGGGTACAGGGGTTAGAGTGGAGTCTCTTCTCTGTGGGAGAGAAGACAGCTCCTGTGAAACTCCTCACATGCATAAGGATCTTCCTTGGATCATGGCCCCCAGATTAATCTGTCACYAAAATGATGGGGAGGTGGCTTACTGAACAGCTATTACCCAGTTTGGCATTTCTTGTTCCCAAGTGGATGGTTTTCATTCCCAGAAAGGCTKCGCTTTTGTTTTCCATACCTTCCTTCTGTAGGGGACAGCTCCTTCAAATCCTCTAGGCACGGCTTCACATTCAAGAGCTTTTTGTACAGAGCCAAGGGAAAGTGCAGGTCTACCACGGTGAAGTTGTATATTGCAAGACCGCATACGATGCCAATCAAGTGAAACCAGTTGTGTTCTACAAAACACTTCAAAACCACACACAGAAATCCTGATGAGAGACACTGTAACCGGTGCAGCGCACGGTACCCGTTACCCCCCCGAGGCGATGACACCAACCAGGTGGTCCCTACTTTCTCTGCTGGGGCTAAAGCAAAGTGCTTCCAATAGGTCCCAGCCTGATCCTCAAGTCCTGGATCCCAGCCCTGCTGGACTGTGGCACAGAATGGAGGCTTTGGATAAAAGACCTATTAACCTTTGCAAGCAGTGATTAGCTGCAGAAGCAGCTTCAAATAGCTCAGCTCCCTTCCATCTTTCCTGTGTGTTTGTTTTTCTTTGTTTTTCCTTCTGGATTTAGACATCTATGAGGCTTCAATGTTTGCCATCTATTACTGCAAGAAAATATGCAACACCTCTATCCCCTCTCCCCAACCTGTTTTCTATTACGAACTTATGCATAACCATAGTGGTACCTAAACACATACAGGTAGGTGTTGGAATATTGGTCTTCATTCCTTTCCACACTTACTCGCACACTGAKATGTCGGTCACAATCAGTCTGCCTCTATCTGTTTAATATTGCAAGTAAGTGATTCTGGTRTTGCAGTGCTTACGCTGTCATTCTTAGTGTCAAAAGACACTGCCCTTTCTACCTCATGAACACAAACAGTAATCGCTCTGTAACGTTGTTTACAAGTTACCAAAGGTACCRTGTCATTTCCTTCTTTGTAAAATATAATTAATGTATTAAAAGAATCCCCACCAGAGCAGCTGTACCTAAACGGSTGGCTGACAACACACTTTTCCATTTTAATCGCAAGGAAAGGCAAGAAAAAAGGACATAAACTACCACCTCCATCATAATGCTAACTTACAGGCAGGGAACTTGCACCTCACACCCTTCCAAAACTAACCAGCTTTTGCTAGAAACCACTTTCCTTGCCTTTTACAGGCACCTTGATATAAATCATTAACAAGCTGAGACCCTGAAGGTGACAGTGCTGCATGAATAAGTGGATTGATTGCAATTATGTGAAGAGCAGGGGAAGTACAGAGGCTCAGCACAGCCTCTGGTCCTGTAAAGCAGCACATGATTGTCACATTCGGGGTAATAAAAGATCTATTAACCCTTCCACCATAAACTGGCATCTGATASCTAATACATGTTTTACTATGGGATAAGAATGAAGAGAAAGAGACAAGTCTTTAACAGGCGTAATCATAACAGTTCCATTAAAGTTAATGGGCCCATAGTAATTGATACTGGCTGGAAACAGAGCTCGTGGGAGGAAAACAGGAGGAGGATCATTACTTTCCCAYAGCTGCTGCTATCTCGCTTGTCACTCCAAGGGAGTATATTCATTCAAGCAACGTGGGCAGGGGCTCACCGTGTCTGAAAACCACAGCAGGTTTGACTCTGGGTAGTAAGTGAACATGCCATAGATGGGGTTGAGCAGCTCTTTTAACAGCAGCAGGAAAAATTCTTTGGTCACCCCTCCAGCRTCCACAGCTTCCTCACCATCAAAGATGACCTGTGGGAAAAGCTGGTCAGTAACGAGGACACAGAAATGAGACTACTGAGGGAATCGGATGGATTTCTACCTGGAAGTTACGCAAAGCTCTTACATACCCAAATCCACCTTGACCCATAAACTTTTTCAGTGCTTTGTTTGTCAAGAGGGAAAGGGAACGGGAACTGGGAAATCTGGCTTTTTCAAAATGTTTAACTCCTCATTTTTTCTCATGTTGGATAGTAACTAAAGCATAAATAGCTACCTGTCCTCCCTATGAAAGAAGCAGCAACAAGAGTGCAAGCGATTGTTACCACAGCTGCTTCTAGCAGCCACAAACTATATTGCAACCTCTAGGGGGTAAAACAGTAAAACACACCCTATTGTGAATGACCTATTCCTGCAGAATGCCAAAAGAGACACTACATCATAAGCAAGCAGTGTTTTTCTCCTCTCTCCCTTATATTGTAGGCATATCAGGAAAACTGGAAAACTTCCCCGAAACAGAAAGCAAGTTCTACATATTTTGTAAAATGACAATTTCCAAAACACGCCATGGGTGAGGGAAGAGAAAGACTGGTGAAGAGGCAGTGTGAAGGGGAGAAGAGCTGTAAAAATGTCAGGTGGATGAGARGTGCTGAAGGAATGGAGAAAACTTACTTTAAGAGGCTTTTTTAAATCAATGTCCGAATGGATGCTCAGCTCCCTCAAAGCATCACCAACCAAGTTGCTCCTGCGGACATGAAGTACCAGGAAAGGGCTTCTGACCAGCAGAGGCTCGAGGGTGAGAAGCATGAAGACATTCTGCAAATTTGCACCATTTATTGCCACCTGAAAATGAGAAAAGTGTCAAAAAGCAGCTGCTGTTTTGTTCCTTTCTTCTTCTGAAAGGAAACCAGTTAGTAACTATACACTTGGTGTTCCTTTCTTCCTTACTTTTAGTCTGCTTTTGCAGGCATACAAAGATTTGGTGCATATGTGTGTTACTGTGTATACATGTGCCTTATTTCCCCCATTTCCCACACCAATACCTTTTGAGTCCCCTGACTTCTTTCAATCAAATTTGAGCCAATTCCCAAACACTGTGTGACATAAGGTAGATAGGTGGAAGAAAGACTTTCTTCATGCTCTTAACTGAGCAGAGGAACTCAGCCCTTAAAAGATGCCAGGGAGTCCGTGAGGGGCGACACCATTACTAAAACAGCAGGTGAGGAGCTGGTGACTACTACAGCTTGCAAGGCACCAGCGAACTCAGCCACRCAGTCCAAAGAAACTTCAAAAAGGAGCCCACTTACCTGACAGCCTGTCTGTTTTGCCAGCCTTACAGCTCCTCTAGTAGAGACATCACTCTGCTTCTACCCTTAGATGACCACAAATACATGGTATTCTGTTTAAATTCCCACCACATCTCACAGTTCTGATTTTTCCAAGCTTACTGAAGTGAAAGAAACCAGGAACTGCCTCTGCAGTATCCAGGGCAGAGATTTTCCAACTACTTTGTTCCCTCTTGTCACAGAAAGAATGAAATGCTGCACACTAACTCCCAGTGAATCCTTTGCAGAAGCTGACAGGAAAAGTGGCAAAAAAAAAGAAAGGAAACAGGAAAATGGGAAGAGAGAAAAAGGTACCTGCATCTGTAGTTCAGCATCTGTCTGTAACATCTTGGTCTTAGCCTGAGCATCAAAGATGAAAGGGTAAGAACAGAGTGTCACAGCATCCTGCAAGAAAAGCAGGCAAATTGGTTCCCATTTTGCAGTTTTGATGAGCTTCTTCAAATAAAAAGCATGAAGAACATTTTTCTTACCTGCATGATAGATGGTCTTACTTTCTGTGAAAGCAAGAAAAAAGAGAAAAATAATAAAAATCCTTCATTCTGTTAATATTGTCTCTTTTCTTTTTTTTAGGATGGACTAGTTCAAAGGCGACCCAATGAACCCATCTCTCTTCTGGCACCAATAACCCATTTTTTCCTTCTTAAAGAGAAATACAGGAAATTCTCTCTCAAGGAAACGCACAGTTCTAACCCAACACTGGTGCATTAAATATTACTAGGAAAATTACAAGAGGACTAGCTGGCACAGAGGCCTGTGTTAGTTTGCTATAGCTGAAAAATTCAGTCTTCTGAAGGAAACAAGACCAGCAGAGCAGAGACCRTGTGAAATAACAGGAGAGAATGTAAGGCCACAGCATGACAACGTAAGACCACTCCAGCAACAAAACTTACTCCTCTTATCAGGTATATTGATGCTTTTTTTTTAACTGTTACACAAAATTGAGTGAATATTATATTCCTCCAGTCTGTGCTGAAAGCAAGCACAGAACAGCACTGCTTATACAATGGAAGGTAGGGACAGGGGCCATAGCACACATGACGTTTACAAAGTCCATAAAAGCACACGCAAAAATTCTTGCTACAGTCAGGTTTTATTCCTGCATCACCCCCTGATGGATGGCTATGGCATCTTCTCACATTTGGGATTTCTTTCCTCCCTGCAGTTAAATACTTTTATTGGGTTTCTACACAGCATTTTCCAGCCCTCAGTTTAGTCATCTCCATTCTTACAGATGGGAAAGTGAGGCATAAAAGAGGTGAAGGGTCTTACCCAAGATCACCCAGCAGGTTACTGGAAGAGCCAGGAATAGAACCCACATCTCTTGAGTCTTGGTTCAGTCCCCTAGCCAGTACTCCACACTGTCTCCTCTTACAGAGCAACATTTTAACTGGCTACATTATTCACAATACCTGCCTAAACAGCAGAAGTAAAGGGTAAAAATTATAATTTTAGAATACAGGACTTGACTCCTGAGGTTGTTGAGTACATTAAAAGAATCCAGTGACTCAGTTAATTCCCTGGTGTAAGGATCGAATAGGACTCACATGAATAATCACAAAGATAGCTACAAGCACAAGTTAAATCTTGTTAGCTTTAGCTTTTCAGATGGTCTTATTTTAAGGCAACTTTRTCAAGACACTGAGTACCCAAATCTGAGAGCTTACATAAAGATGCTCCTATACTGTACACATTATAATCTTATTAAGGATATTAAAAATGCAGATCTTTTATGACCAGAGAGACAAACATGGACAGCTATTTCATGACTACACATAAAAGCTCTTACCATTCCAGCCTGATGCAAGAACCACATGAGATAATCCTCCTGAATGTCCACCAAGCTGGAAATCTCAGGGATATAAAACTTATCATATTCTATGTGCTTAACCTTCTGATTTACCTAGTGAAGAAAGCAGAAGGTTTTGAAAATACAGATGCATTCAGCGTTTTTCTTTAAACAGGCTCTAATCAAAAAGGCTTCCCCTCATAGCTCAGATGAAATCAAATACAGCAGCTTGCAACCTCAGGCCTCAGAAAGCCTCGCAAATTACTGAAGCGTCTTATATTTTACTATGAACTAACTGAGATAAGGAATAATGCAAAACATGGTCAAGAAGAACTTCTTTCTTACTACTTCTTTTAGTTCTTCCTCCTCCTCAACGGGCACTAAGGCAGTGGGAGCAGAAAGGAGGATGAAACAGGTATTTGTGATGGAAAAACAGGTATTTGGATGACACACAGTCTGGTGGCTCAGCAGCGGCAGTCTCTAGGTAATTTTTTCCTAGTGTTTGAGACAGGATTGGAMAGTGTTCAAGAACTCGGAATTGAGGACAAGCTCTAACATCTTCCTTCTTGTGCTGTCTCAGCGGGCAATGACACACATGTCAGGCTGGGCCTGTGACCGCTCCTGAGCTGCCAAATGGTGAAGGGCAGAGACTAGACTGTGAATCACTGGAGCCAGCTCGCACACAGGCTTCCCTCTTACCTTGTGCAGCTTCTCCAGAAGTCTGAGAGCGGCCGTGATGTAGCTACTGAACAGGACTGGGATGAGCAGTGTCTTTCGTCCGCTGAGCAGATAAACCACTGCCCCTTTATAGAGGTCCACAAGTCTCAGGAAATACTTTGGGCACACCTGAGACCACCAGTTATCTGGAAAGGAGAGGAACGTGGATATAAACATTAAATTGAAGACCACAGGGTGTTATTCTAAATATGCAGGTACAACTGAAAAGAGGGAAATACACCCGATAATAATTTTGGAAAAGCTCCCAGTTTCTCTCCTAACTGCAAAGGCAGGAAGGTATGACAAGTGAGCTGTAGATACTAGAAGCCTCAAAGCAACTCCTTTCCCCTTTCACTCACTACCTAGCCCCTATATCAATTAGTGCTGGAGCCTGAATTCAAGATTTTTGCAAGATACTGTGTTCTTGCAGAGAATCTATGACCCAACTTTCTATCACTTGAATTGCTCTCCCACTCCCTATTTCTTTATTAGTGATAAGAAAATAGTTGCATGGTCCCTTTTCCGTCAGTACCATGGAGTTTTCTAGCAGATGTCAGGAAAGCCTCCCTGGCACATCTGTGCTAACGGTCTGAACTCCTCCTTGTTAAGAAAATTGATTTCTTTCTTGGTCAGGACAATAAGCCTTGTTTGTCTTCTGAAGGTACCCTTGTCTATTAGCATCTTCACCAGACCTAATCTGCCTGCAAAGTAGAAGCAGGAACTTAAGAAACCATCACATCTATTGATAGAAACAAACACCAGTTTAGTTCCTTGGGTGTCAGTACTATAATGAACTGTGACAGGCAGAAGTATGAKGATCCTTTACATTTCTATATGCTATCAATTACAGTGGACTTTAAGCACAGGAGGCAAGCTGGTCCCAAACTGTCTCTGAATAAGGACAAAAACTCGCTCAGATTCATTAGAGCAATGCTCCTGGAGGCCTGAATGCATTACATAGCATTAGACTTGCTTATATGAGAATTAGTGTAAGATAATCTTAAGCAACACAACACATAACAAAAAAGTAGCAGCTTAGCAAACATTAGCAATGACTGYAAGCAGTATATATTCTAGTTAGCTTAAGCTGAGCTCATAAGAAATAATATGAGCAGAAAYATCAAGATTCAGATGCAGGAGAAGAGCTGGGAGGTTCAGCTTGATGAGAAAACAATCAGTAGGTTTTTCTGTACCTTATACAGGACAAGATTATTTTGTTCAGAACAGGATATTTAGTAGAGGATATTTTAATGTGGGTAATAGCTGCTTAGACTTAAGAGAGTAAGGTATTTAATCTTCACAATATACAAATCCAATGTTCATGCGACAGCCTTAGAATTTTCTTCAGAACTGAATCTCTGAATGTAGSTAAAGTAGATAAGGCTCTTAACTTCTCTCTTCTTAACCTGAATTTTATTTCTCATTTATTACCCACACGCTACCATGCATTTTATGTTTTGTATTATAGTAGCTGATGAGCTTCCCACATTTTATCTGTACGGCAAATTCTTTATTTCTTCATATTTTAAATCTAAAATTCAGACCACATTCAAAAAAACTTTTACATGGCAASTTAGGTGGGAGGGTGAGGCCAGGTCCCTTGATTGCTTTTGGTTCCCCACTCTCTTCTGGAGTTGAATCCTTCCTAACAATGCTATATCAAAAATAACAATTAACACTGCAGCTGTGGTAGCAAAATAAAAAGTTAAGTCAATACAAAATAAGATAGAAAAATCAAAAGCCAACACTTTCTCTCCCAGCAGGGTGCTAGAGCAGGATGTGTCCGAAATGGCTCATGTGGAGAGAATGAATTATCTCTTACCAAGCACTTTACTGGGGTTGGTATCCAGGCGCAGTATAGCCATTGCTAGAGGAAGTGTTAATGTTATGTAATACTTGGAGTCCTGGAGGAGTGGGAATTCAGGTAGAATCAAATAGATCCTCATTGCCTCTACATCTGGSGGGGAGCTGGACAGCTGCGGAATCAAAAAGCTTTCAAAGCTCTTCAATATCTACAAGGAAACGAAAGAGAAGAAGGCATTTTACTTTGGGGGATGGAGCATCTGCTATCTAGGTCCCACTATGCCTAAAATAAGGATTTGATGTGCTCGGTAACCTACAGAAATACACAACATGACAAGTCATCTCTGCTTTAGGAGAGTCAGGAAGGTCGAAGATAATTTTTAGCTCTGGCCAATGAATGCACAACAGAAAGGAAATGGGCTGAATCTGAAGAGCTACAGGGAGAAGCAACGCTTTGAACGAATCAGACGTCTAACGTCCTCAATTCTAAAAAGTAAYTTTTATTCTTCAGTTTTTCATGACAATTAATATTTGGCTTAACATAAAATTTTCTTTCCCTCCGCCCTCAACAATTCACTTGGGCATCTGAAAACAGGCCAGACATTTTTTTTTTCACTGAGACCTTCCTTCTGCCATCACAGTAGCTGGYAGACCCTGCCAACACACTCCGTGCCCCTCAGGGCCTGGGAAACAAGTAATTACAAAGGACTATGAGAAGAATAATATCAYAGAACATCACTTTTAAAGACCAGATGATCCATCGCAAGTTTACGCCACGCTACAAACATTAACTGTCATTGTATTTACCTTCAAGGTGATACAAGGTGTTCAAGGTAAGTGTTACTGTGCATCTTGTTCAGAACCAAATAATCAGAAATTACCACAATTAAGTCAAAAGAGCGAGTGGGATTTCTAAGCACCAAAAGTCATATAGTTAACAGCTAGCRTGACTTACCTGCTCAGCAAGAAAATCTAACTTCATTACTTATTTTACGAGAGCAGACTTCATATAGCTAAGAGAGAAGTCACTCTGACTTTAAAAAGTTCTATAAAGTTCAGTGAAGTTAGTTCTCCTGTCCAGCATTCTAGGAACCATTTAAAATATTGCGTTAAAMTGAAAATTAGTTTAAAAAATGTCACAGAGAACACAGACAATCACATCTCACAGGTCTTGCCCTCCTGAGAGAGAGACCCTGAATTAGAATTAACTGTTAGTATCAACAGTGCTTGAGCTGGTATGAAACAATTAAAATAATCAACATGCAGGAAATGAGCATAAAGTCATTGTTTACAAGTGTAGCAGAGGCAGACTTAATTTCAGGAGCTATTTCAAGTAGTCAATGCCACGGGACAAAACTTTTTTTAAAAATAAGATTTTGGGCCTGATTCTCAGAGGGTGGAAATTAGCTCAGGCCAATGAAGACGTAGGATCTAGGATACAAATATGAAATACAACCTGCCCCCCAAAAAGCTCCTGTTACTTCAGTGTTAAAGAGGGACAAAGTCGTTACTCTCGCTCTGAATACCCCAAAAGCCAGAAGTGCAATACCTGGTCTAGAAGAATGGAGTGCTGAGAGTTCATCAGTTTCTCAAACAGCACTCTGGTGGAGTTCAAATCAATCCCCGGGATCTTCGGACTGGTCTTAAAATGTTCATCAATTCTTTAAAAAAATCATAGACAGGCTGGCATAAATTAAAAAAAGAGACAGGACTGCCCTGTGTATTGACATGTCCTGAGAGCAGGCAACAGAGAAATGAACTCCAGGGAATGAATCAGTTTAGAAATAAAGCAGAACTTGAGTCTTTTTGCTAAACACAAGATGGACCRATCACCCTTCTGGACTCCTTAGGCCTTGTTTAGGGTTGAGATTCTTGCGGATAAATACTTTACTAAATTCCTTGATTTCCCCAGCACTTCCTCCTGATTGTCTTAAGAGCCTGCCTGGACAGGTCTGACTTCTTAAAACTCTGTTTAAAAAAAAAAAAAAAAAAGTCCTAACCTAACATACTAACATATAGATCAGGATTCACTGTGTTGCATGATATATTCATTATGTATTTTTAAAAGAAAACTTTATGCACACAGCATAGGAAAAGAAAGGGTGGTGTGCAAGAAGATACTGCCTATTACATAAGAGAAGATCAGATGAGGGATTTCAAAAAGAAACAGGGTGAGACTTTCAAAGAAGCCCCTTCAGCAACTCCATCCTTGTATTTCCTATCCCTCAAACTAAAGCAGGACCACAACCAAACTGTAACACAGTCGAGAGGGGTCTTCACACGGCCTTGAGTTGCAGCAAATATGTCCCATCCTTTCTGATATACTTGAAAGGGCGTAATTTACCCCAGATGCCTGTATAAGTGAGATAATGAGGGCAAGTCTTTGAGGACCATAATGTGACAGTTTGATTTAGCATTATTAAAATCTCTTGCAATACAGCAGGTAAGTTACCCATCTCAGCATCTAGAGTATTTTCACCATCTGTAACATTAGCTCTCAGCACCACCATTTGCAGATAAAACAGCTTTGCATGTGACAGTAAAAAAATAAGATTAAAAAAAAAGGTCACTACTATAATTCCACTCAGAGATTTCTCCCAAGAGCCATATGCCACGAGTCACCTTGAGCTTGTGAGCTTGTGCCATATCCAACCCCCGAAGGAAAAGGTACCTTTGTCAGATTGCTGATGTGGCTCTACTGATCCAAGAAGCTAAATTTAGCTTGCTGTAGTAGAATAGTCATTTCCATAAAAACGCACRCAGCAGGCTAGAAATAGCTCCTCAGAGTCACCCTGGCACAGAAAGCTCCCGGCTGTGATGTGCAGAAGCAGCACTGGAGCAGGCACACAGACACAGCAGAGCTGCTCTGCCATTTAACCCTCTGTACACAATGCTGCCCTGCAAACAGGCCTCCATGGCACCAGGAKGCTGAAAGGCTGCTCTAGGGTATTTCTACCAAGGTGCATTGTGACACTCGCATATAAAGATGCGTGTTTAAAGACAGCCTCACCTCTGGTTACGGTGGCTTYGGATTTTGTGCTTCGTTTGGTCACAGATCTTCTGTAAAAGTTAAATCCTGCACTAGCCCAGATATCATTAAGGTGGAAAGGCAGCTGCCCTGGGTGATCAAGTCATGCATTCCACTCCTTTCCACAATCAAAGGAGATGTGGGACTATCTACCCTGCCACAACCACTTGGAAATCTCACAGTGTTTTAAACCAACATGACAGCTCCCCTGATGTGGTAACACACTGCCTCCTCACAAGCTTGGAGAAGAAACCATTGCACCAGTGRGAAAAAAAGCAGGAATAATGAGTACATTGTTTTCTCTGCAAGTTGCTCTTGGAAAAGATTAGTCAAAGATTACTCAAAGTAACCAGGTTCTTCCTCATCGAGCTACAGGTCATTACTCATCACAACACCATAAAAAGTCCCCATTCTCTTCATCTTAGGCTGTTACCTCCCCACCATTATAGACACAACAATCGCAATCCCTTCCACCCACAGCCTTTCCCAAAGCTATGCATATAGTTCCTCGTCACCACCCATGGTTAGTTACACCCATTAATCCTTTAGCAGCAGAGTCATCCTCTCCTTGAAATTCCTGCTTTGGCATGCATGAGCACCAAACTTTCCACAGGTGACATCACCTAAAAGGAAAGTACTGCCATACTGCTTATATGAATGTATTTTTTAAAAACAGCCCATCTGTAAACATATCTCCACACAGGCCAGTTCACACYAAGTGTGAACTCAGCTGCAGAGGAGATGGTTCAGATATCCAGGATCAGTCTTTCCCTTACTGCTACCCCTTCTTTTTCAAATGCAGAAGAGTTCATATCTATTTTGTGAGAAAACAAAAAACCAAAGAAACAATTGTGACAGCTCCAAGAATTCTGCAGCACTCACAGTACACTCACCATTCACTTTCTTAGACTATTTGCCTTCCTCATCCAGCTCTGACCACCCACGTCCTTAGTGGCTGCTCTCCGCCCCAGTCTCCTGCCTGATCACAAAAATCAAAGTCCACTGCAACAGTGAACGAAGTAAAGAGATTCCAGTTTGCCTCAGGGGAAAGTSACATTTCTGGACTCCATTTGCCACTTACTTCTTCTCCAGGAAGCTTCCATTCCAGCAGGCAGCCGAGGACAGTATCTGAACTACATCACTGTTTGCAAGAAGACAAAAAGAGAGACACAGAGTAAGAACAGGTGTCCCAGCAAATGCCCTCAGCTCCCCTCCTTTCCATTCTTTGAGAGCAATCTCAGAATCACCCCTTCACTTAGAGGCACTGTGTTGAAGCAGCCCACTCAAGATAATGTAAAATCCCTCTTTTAAGGGATGTTGGCAGTGCCTCCTTTCCACCTACTATGCTTTTCTCAGGGCAAGCACATGGGAAGGTGAGAGAAATTTTAATCAACATGTATGAAGTTTCTTGCACCTTTTCACGAACTCTTAAGCACATTATAGGACAAGTTTAAATCCAGTTCCCATTCACCATCATTTCAGACACGTTCCAAGGTAGCCTCAAATTCTTCTGTCCTGCTAGGGATTTTAAACCTGTCATCCTCACAAGATTCAAATAAAAACACGGCATGGTAGCCAACAAAATTCTTTAAGCAAAACCTTCAGGAAAAGGCTTGTCCAGTGCCCCAATACCTACTTGACAGAATTAGAACTGTTCTTTTCTAAAAGCTTTTGCCTCCAGACATCTATAGTTTCATCATTTATTAAACAGGTGTAACGTGTTTCATTTATGGTCCGGAAATCATCAGCAGGCAAGGAATTCTGTGAGAAGATACAGATCTCATCAAAGGCAAGGCTTGTAAAACAATTCCTTCTTATTCATCATCTCTGTTTTCTAATTAAAAAAATGATTGCTTTCTCAGTGAGTTTTCTGCACAGGCTTGATAAGGAGGCTCAACTAATGAACCCAAAAGGATATAGAAAAAAAAMCAGGACCATTAACAAACATAAAAATAGCTATTTAAAAATATAAAATATATAAAGAAATATAAAAATACAAAAAGAAGAAAATATCATTTTCTTAAACGTACCACACTCCTTTTAAATAAGCCACAAACAGGTATGTCAAACACCTCTTCAAATAAATAATGAGACAGACACCAGAAAAAAACAGTTGCACATCGAGCCCTCTGCAGCCTGTATCATCAGAGAAACTGAGCGTGGGCATTGCAGAACCTCTAACCACCCGAACCCCTAGAGGAAAAGCAGCCTCTTTCTTACAATCTGCTAACATCTCCCTGTTGATCAAAGTGAAATTAGGGTCTTCCCAACTGCTCTCTGACATGGTCCTCAAGAAATGCACTATTTCAGTCACTATTAATCAGTCGGAAATCCCTGTAGTAGTTATTGCTTTTAGGAGGGTTTGCAAGGTGGAAGGGCCTCCAAAACCTCAATGTTCTTTTGGGTAGATGTGACCCAAAAAAAAAAAAAAAAATAGAAGGATGCATTGTGAAGGTTGCGGACAGAAACACAGACTTAAAATGATGTTTGACTCGTTTTACCTCATATTTGGAGCAAAGCACAAACGTCTGGTCTCCTCCAGAGAAGATATGTTTAACAATATGATATTTACAAGCATCTGTTAAAGAAAGAGATGCAGTTGTGTTACAAGCTGATGGATTTAAGTTGCTGCTTTGCCTTTCCTCCTCCAACTCCCCAGTGTCTCARGCCTTAGGCTACAAGGAGCAGCTGGGCTCCCTGAAGGCAAGGCTGAACTTCAGCACGTCCTCCAGAAACACTCTTGACCTGGCAAGACGGAAAGATAATTTTTTAACTACAGTGGGTAAGCCCTCCAAAATCAGTACTGGACCAATTACATGGAATTACACGGAGGCTCAAGATCACCAAATTCTGAGCTCTACCGTGAAAAGAGAAAGGCAGAGAGTACACAGAGCAACCAAGAGAGTAAGAGGTGACCCAGTACTTTCCATAGCGCTTTTGCACTAAGAGACTGAGATCAATCTATTTCCAACAGAGYCATTCCAACTCACAGACCAATGTCAGGATGTCTATAGATCACCATGGATGAAATGAAATGATCTATGTCCATCTGCCTCCCCAAATTGTGCACAGCAYGTACCTGGCTTCCCTGAGAGTTGCCCGTTGTGAGCGGCCCAGTGACCCTTCACAGGAGAGGGACACTTAACATTGCACGTGTGCCCAGTTCCCAGCTGGCCTCTTGTTCCACAGCCAAATGCATAGATCATTCCTGAGGAAGGCACGAAGGCTAAAGTGTGATGTCTGTAACAGAGATGGATACAAAGTTTGAGCCGTGCTTAACAACAGAAGAAAAGTACAAAGAACACAAGAAAAGAACAAATACAGCCTGCAATTTATTTTCTGTCATTAGGTCAAAAGCTGGTGCAAAGCAGCATCTTCCCACTAACACCAATGATCAGTTTKTGCCACCTGATGGCACCAGTCTATGGAGTACATACAGCTCATTAGGTGGAAGGAACATAAGCAGTCTGTGCCAGCATGCAGCTGGTGTCAGGACTCATAGACGAAATCAGCTTAGTCATTTGCCAAGTCAGTAGATATCAAAAAAATAGCATCAYAGCAAAGTGTTGCTCTCTTTTCAGGAAAGAGGCAGTAAACTTGTGACCAAAGGGCCTGCAGCTCTAGCGTCCATCTGGTCCAATAAGACGGAAAGGGATCTTTCACCGGGTCATAGCACAGACAACAGCCTCAATTAAAATCAACCTCATTTAGTGGGCCTTAAAATTCTAACACAAAATAAAACTTACATTAACCTAATTTTGCCACACAGGATGCAGAAGCAAATTATCCCGCATGTTTACTCGAGCCAACATCAGCATTAACCTGCACTGAGGGGAGCTCCCGGCCGCACACGGGCACTCACCTGCCGCAGGCGATCTGCGATACCTCGCTGCCCATTAGCTCGAGAACTCTTCGGGGGTTCACTTCGTCGTTCATGGAGTCGTGGCCCAGCTGCCCACAGGAACCTGCACCGAACGTGAACACCCCTCCACTCTGTTAGCAAATCAGACAGCACATTCTCTGTTTAGGGACCCATATCCTAGCAGCATCTCTCTGACTCTAGTTTCACTCGCAGCCCAGGCTTAAGCAGAGGCAAGCACTGAACGGTGACCTCCCAAGACCCATCCCTCTAAGCACTAAACTACACCTTACTTGGAAATGCCAGGAGATATAGAATTGAAAACCTCTTTTGTAAATGTTGTGATCCAATGACATGTGCGTTTTAAACAGCCCCTCCTTTTGCCCTGTTTTTTTTTTTTTTCCTTCTGATACACAAACAGACCTTTTCGTCTTCCAGCAAAATGCTCCTCTCAGCCCTTTGGAAGCATGTCTGTCAATTCCCTAATCAAAGTCTTTTCCTTTGAGGGAGACACCTGATTTTTGCTATTCATTGTCATGAACTATTAACATCTTCAATTTCAAAAATGACATTGGATCACATCGACAAGGAATCTCAAAACAAATTAAAACAACTCTGCACTTTCCACTGACTTCATTTAGTTCATTTTACTGGGGTCAGATGGAAGAAGGTCAATCAACCTGTTTTTAAGTGCCATTACCCAGGAAACTAAATGAACCCATCAGGCAGATGAGACAGCAGCCAACATTCCCAGGTTGGCACTTTTACCTTTGTCAGAACTGCYGTGTGTTCTTCTCCACAGCTGATGTAAACAACCTTCTGAGACCGCAACAGCTTCACATGGCACGGAGATTCTCGGTCTGTGTAGTAAACAATGAAAATAAGGGGATTTTTTTCACAAACACAAACCTAAATGTCTGAAAAAACACCAGCAGTCTGATTTTTGGATGTGATCTGCAATTCTGATGGGGTTCCATGGAAGTTTTAGCAAATGTGGGAAAAAAAACATGTCACTCGCCCTTCAACATGTCACTGTCCCTTTCTCTTCCAATTGTTAAAAGACTTGTGCCACAAAAGAAGGTGTCCGGAGCAAGAACATAAATAATGAGAATGTTGTATAAACACAGTTTATACCTGCAGGCTGGGACACATTACTAGTGCAGCCTAGTTACAGCAACTTTTWGTCTCCTGCTTCATTCCAGACATCTCATACACTGCTGCACACATCTGTTTACAAAACCTTGCTCAGAGCCTCTTCAGGCCCGGCAGACAACAGCACAAGCCACATGGGAAGCTGGATCCAAGGGGTATTTAAATGCCTGGCATTCCTTTTTCTGTCATCTTTTAAGAAGAAAATCCTCCTATTTGCAAAGGCTAATCTCAGTTTAATGAAACTCTTCACGCTGATGTCTTTTATCAACCAAAATGGGTTTTCCCACATAATTTGAATACACCAAGCAAGATTTCATGGTATACTGTTGGGGAAGCTAGACATTTCATAGCGGAGAAGGCACCCCAAAACGGCTTACTTTTCATCAATGAAAAATCAGGTTACTACCTAGAGTGCTGTTCATTTTCAAGACTCTCACCAAGGGATTTTATAGGTCCTTTTTCTGGGAAGTGAAAGGAAAATGATCAAATTTTCATAGATTTAGAAACAAGAGTAGCTTCTWTATTTACTTTGCTCTGTATTTTTTACCTACTCATCTTTATTTTGATTGGAATGGTGCTTCTTAACTCTGCAATGTAATTGCTGAMATAACAGTGCTTTAAAAGATTCATGTTGGTAGACTTTGCTCTTCATGTTTACTACATACAAYTCATACTGTTTCACCATAATTCACCCACCATAAATACCAAATGTTTAGACCAGATGCGTGCCAGTTGTGCTGTATTCTGAGGGGAAACAGACTTTGAGCTATTTAAGATAGCTCATTAACTAAGCAAGTCTCTCACATATCAACTGTGGCTTTTCTGCTAGCGCTATGTTGAAATTAAAAGCACCTACCTGCTAGTCTACACGGGCAGAGCACTGCCGCTCTCCTCCTGRATCAGTGCTCTCACTTACATACAGTACCAGAAAGCAGCCCTAAAATATTTCTGAGAGAATTCAAGTTATATTGTAAGCTTTCCAAGTGTTTGCTCCACACCAACTTCAAGCAAGAGCTCCGACAAAGCATACTGAGAGRAGGAAGAAAGAATTCTAGCCCTTCCTTGGTTGCAGACATGCTGATGCCTGCATTTGAGAGATCTTCTTCTTAGACCTTCTTTGCAGCCACTAACATCCACAATAGAAAGAAAAGAAGTGTTTTTGTTTGCACTAAATATGAAAAGCCCGAAGGGACTTTTGGAGAATGTTTCTCTGCCTTCTCTTCCCAAGAACAGTGGCTAAGGTCACTTATTTGCTCAATAAAATACACTGTAAATGCAAAAAGAAAAGCTGCACTCATCCAAGAAAAACCATTTCTTCTCTTCCTAGGAGTGGGATTTTAATACCTCGTTCATCACTCAGTCCCAGCTGCCCTGAGCTGTTCTTCCCCCAGCCAAACACAGCTCCGGAGAGAGACAGGGCAAAGCTGTGGGCTCCACCTGCAGCAACCTGAGCCAAAGGGATCCCRTCGAGAGATTTGACACGTTGTGGGCTGGCTTGGGAGGGACATTCTTTACCCAAGCCCAGCTGACCATAACTGTTCTGCCCCCATGTGAAGAACTGGCCATCTGAAACAAGGAAAGAAAAACAGTTGTTGAGTAACAACTGGACAAAAGGAAAATGAAGCATGTCAAAATGAACATTAACCAATTCTAGGGGCTTCCTTTCCACTCATCTTTACAATGGAAATATCAAGAAGAAATACTTTGTTAAAATAAAAGCACAGTCTGAAGCCACAAAGTAAGCACGCAGATGCGTGACTAACTGCAAAATACAACACRGGACTAGTGTCACTTAAACAGCACAATGAAGAATGGTCCCCATGTTGCACACCACAGAGAAATAGCCAAGGATAATTTCCATATAAGACATTAATCATACACATTTTTCTACAGTAGAATGGAAAGGTTTTAAGTGCTCCTGCCATCACACAGTAGAGAGGCAGTGGGTGGCCTGTGCATCATGTTGCCACTCCTGAAGTACTTAGCAGAAGGTTTTCTGAGGCTCCTTCAGTATTCACAGTCTGACCARCTGTATACCCTCCCATTCAGATCAAAAGCATCTGAGACAAGGAAATCCTTGGCTTTTAATGTGAAAATATCCAACTTAGGCACTGGGCAAAAAAAACAGTACAAATCTWGGTAATAAATAATGCTACAGTACCTGCTGCCAAAGCCAGGCAATGCCAGTTTCCACAGGAAACCTGMAGTATCGTCTGTTGGTTCAATTTCTTTATCAACCTAAAGAAAGAGATGTTATTTTAGAATAATCACTTAACATTAAGACTATCATTTTCTTTYAAGTATTTTTGCTACAGACACATAACCTGCAGTTTTTGAAACTGATGTATAGAGTCTTGAAGAAAACAGATCCATCCACAAGAGGTGCAWAACTGTGAAGAGCTTTAGCCACTTGACTACCAACTCTAATATTTATTGCTATAAAGCTGAATCCTAACATCCAGAAAACGGTGGAGACAGCCTAGTTGCAGTGTCTCTCTTACTCTGCTCTTTCAGGCATCAACATTTTTCATGCTGACAGAGGGCAGAGTGGTTCCCGTGYGCTAAAAACCCCAAAACCTCCTCAGTATTTTGTACATAGATCAGCAAGCATTAAAGGGTCACATTATTTCTTAAAATGCTATACTCAAAATATCACATCGGCACGTGAGCCTTTTTCTTTGATGGAGCAGATCTACCTGCAAGTAGAGGATTGTCATCCCCCAGATCCAGAATCCCAGCTCCAAAGTGACACTTTGTAACTCAAATTCTTTCCTTTTAAACACTGTTTCCACAATGATGACCACACCAGACACGTGTCCAAATTTTTTTTCTACTTGCTCTGCATTGGCTGGTATCAGGAGTAACGGTCAGAATTCATCTGTTTTGAATGCAACCTGGTACAACGCACTTTAAGTACAAAGAGATCAGATATATTTCCTATCGGGATAAGTTGAGACCTCTTGCCTGTGACTTGCTTTGAATAAAGGAGCCTTCCTACCTGCCACTGGCCCCTGTACCATCTATGTGTGCTTCCACTGAACCCTTACCACTGCTCTTATAGTTAAGTCACATTAAATATGTAAATGAAAAAAAAAAAATAACACCACCTGAAAGTTTCTGGGTAACATTGACTAATGAAAACTGCAATAGGCTGGCTTAATGGCTTTGGTGCTATGTAAAAGGTACACAGCACAACAGTTTCAGAGTTGGCATGCTGGCTCACTCAGCTGTGCTTTCCCCCCTACTCCCCCCATTCTCAAAAGGTGGCTTCTATTTCAGAGGGCTTCCCAGGGAGTCATATAAAGAGAGATATCACATAGCATTTCCATTTTTAGGTTTCTCCTCATGTACTGGCACTTTTCCAAGGAGGAAAGTCTCGGATTTTGTTCTCCTCTRGGTCCCGAAAACCCAAGCGCAGGTCTGTCCTGCCTGAATTTCCTGAGAACTCTCCAAATCCCAGGGAGACTCAGGGAGTACCAGTGCAGAGAAGGAGGAGAAGTCTCATGCTTAAGTGCATATATGACCTGAACTTGTTAAAAAACTTACCTGGGTACTGTCACGGCGTCTTCTATGGTAGTGAGGCCCAACTGTCCATCGCTGCCGGCGCCCCAGGAGAAGAGCTGGCCCTGGTCGCTGAGYGCCACGCTGTGAGACTCTCCGCAGGCCACGTGCACTATGTGCTGCCCTGCCAGGGCCCCGATTTGCTCTGAAGGAGACAGAAAACCTCTCCTGTTATAGCATTTAACTCATATTTACACACAGACATTAGGTCTAGTGGACGCAAAGCCACTCGGGTGCAATGATGCCCCACTCTGCTTTGAAAACAGGAACGTACCAGATTCTACGGAAAACAGAGGGGTCCAAAAGCCTCATCTGTAAATCAGAAAATACAGATAGACACCTGCTCCCAAGTATATATTTATAGCTGCTTGCTTCCAGATATGAGGAGGGAACCCAAGCCCAGGTTATTTAGAACGAGTCAGAGTTCACAGACTAGATGCTTTCTCACTTAGTTTTGATATGGTGATCAGCAAGGACTCAGAACTCAGCAAATCCTCTGAAACTGTCCTTCCCACACATCTKACACCCAAGGAAGATGGGTTATCCACACAGCTAAAGGACTCAGTTGTCTCTCAATTCACTGCTCAATGCATAAAAGCAGATGTGTTATGAACTTCCCAGTGCTAATTCTGGAACGGGATTGAATCAATCAACCAATTACTAGTCATTTTGCTGTTGCTGTCAGATATACATCAAACAAATCCAATAAAACAACAGCAAAGCAATAGGGTCTTACAGTGGAATAAAAGGAGGAAAAAAAMCACTCTTTTCTTTGGAAGATTACTCTTAATGTTATGTCATTGCATGCAGCTAAAGTAACTTTGACATCTGCTCTTAATGAGTAATGGTTGGTGGTTGTTAAAGTCGTATGTAAGGCTTTTAAATTGGACATGAAAAATCTCTGACACAACAGAATGGAAGGAACGCCACACCTTTGGTGGAGAAACTTTCACAAACCAAACAGAAGCAAGGTTTCTGTTTTTTCTTTTTCCTCAGATTAAATATAAATGTTTGAGGGTAGGTGAAGAAAGGWTCACTCTAAACTACATGTCACTCATTAGTTTTAATAAAAGAAAAATCACTTGACTAGGACATAAGAAGAAAGGCTAGTTACATGTCATTCTATGAAAAAGACAATCCATATCCAAGACACCTAGAAACCATTAATATATAAGCAGCAAAAACTGCATACCAATCAATCTAGATGTTTTAAATGATTTAAAAGGAAGCCACCCCTACAAGGGCTTACCTTCGAAGTCTAGAAATCACAAATTAGGAAGGAAAATAATCCTCAATGCATGTTATGAGAATCACATTAYGAATTCTCAAAATACACTTTGTACCTGAGTGTTTCCTCTCACTCCAAACACTTAATGGCAGYGGAGGCAATGATACATACGCAACAAGCACCCAGAAATCTGGAAGGTGGCAGGGATAGCTCCTGCTTGCCCTCCAGCCAGCCTTTGGCCCTGCATCTTTTTCCAATGCACCTAATTTCACATGCCCCTCAGGCACCCTAAGTGTGCAAGAGCAAAAACAGCTTTCAAGGGCAATCACCCAACTCACACATGCAGTTTCTATGGTTAGGTCCATGTGTACTATTATTTAGTAGCCTGTTTTATGCTCATTTGCATATATAATTAAGGAAGCCTATTTTTATACACGGGCTCTAAATAACCAGCAGCTGCACAGCTTGGTCAAGGCGAGTGATAAACAGCAGATTACACATCTCAAGAGCAAACACGACTCTRGTACCCTCTCAGTGGTCAAAGGGACAAGAAAAAAATCACGTGCACATCAATGCACCTGGCTAAGCTCAGCTGAACACATTTCTATAGAAGGACTCAAAGGTCTTGAGCTAAAACTCCTGCCGCAGAGGATGAGGCATCTCTAGAGGAAACAGCTTTGACTCACGAGCTGCTCTCTTTGCTACCTTCCTAGCTGGGATCTGCAGCGTGTCCCACGTAGCTGTAAGTTTGCCTGCCAGGATGCACTGAGCCCATTTGTTATGCCAAGTGCCTGAGCACTTGTAACAGTCACAAACCCACCAACCCTCCCCTCTTCTAAAGCTGCTCTCCGCACACTGTCAAATATGCATTGTCTCCTGGAGTGGGAGCATCAGTAAGAGAAAACGTGTKTTGCTATCTATCAGCATCAAGGAGTTAATTTCCTGCCCGGGAAAGAATATTTGCTAGACTTGCACATGTCTCATTTGCTGCAGCAGGACTATTATGAGCTGCCCCTGAGGAAACAGAGCACCTCGGGGAAGAAGACAGAAGACTTCATTGACTGAGCACCAACATCAGGAGCTCAAAAAGGCAGGATGCTGAAGACAGCAGTGCTGTAGCTGCAAGAAAAGTCTTGAGAGGTGTCAGGGCCTGAGGTAAGAATCACATAGCGAGGGATTCACATGCAGGGAAGAGAAAGGGATATCAGGAAGGTTTTGAAATACAGCTACTGCTTCAGTTTCCACAGATTCTATTTTAAGTCTATTTTGGCAACGCAAGCCTGACCTTATTCTGTGTGCCATCCCAGGGGACTAATAAACACGGACTTGTTTTGAAAGGCTGCCTTGTATCACTAAAGGCCTTCACTGACCGCATTGCTCACTCAAGAGACAAAGCAGAGCCTCATGTCTACTCACTATATAACCACAGATAGAAAAAGTAACTGTGTCTTGCAGCTGAAGAGCTTTGCTCTGAAAACTGCAAGCCTGAAAGCTGAGGGCACTACACTCCTTAATTCTTGTCTATTGAGTGCCAAGTTATGAAAAAAWTTCAACTTTTGTGTATGCTTTACACCTCTACACAGTTCTCTCCTTTCCTTAAGGCACGYAGACTGCCCACGAAATAGGCASATGCATCCCAGTTCCCTGCCACRCTGAGCTAGTACATGTTTTGATACATCAAAAATAACAAGAAAAGTTGTTCACTGACTTGCCACCCTTCCTGATCTCTAAGTACAAAGTGTTTCAGGGTTGCTCAAAATGTATTATCAAATCATTACCTACTCCCTTGAGAAGAAGTGTTCCTTTACTAAAAGGAAGGATGCAAAGAATAAACTTTAGTCTTGGTAGAGTGTGTTCACTAAGTGCTGAATGACATGCTTCATAAACCCCCTTCAAATGTACTTAAACATAGTTGAGTAGAACAAAGTCCTGGAAACAGGTACATGTTCAAGGAGCTATGTAAGAGTGTTTTAACATACCATGAAATAAAAAAAATAAAAAAAGCCACTTCTGAGAAGTATACATGGAGTCAGTCCTTTATTTCAACAGCCATCCCTCGTCTCAAAACAGTTCTGATTTTCACCTTTCTCTATTCATTTTATCTCACAAATCTTCATTTACCTTTCTGATATAAAAGATATATTAAGTTGCGTTTGACTGTCTTGGCTTTTTCTTGTTAAAACTTTAAAAAAATGCACATTGGATGAAACCATGAGATCAAGGCAAGATGTGGTCAGGACAGCACTTCTCAGAAGACAGAGACCTGGTTTTGTGAGTTTCTCCAGTGCTTTCCTGCCTCTCCTTCCTTTKTTCAAGAACATTTCAGTAAGAGCTATTGACAGGTGCTGCATATTTCCAGGTAGTAGCTCCCCTTGACTGTCTCTGTAATCCACCTCTGACAGTCAAGGTACTTCAATCAATCCTGCATTCTGAGGACTCAGAAACTGCAGTTGTGTTGGGTCAGCATGAAAACAGCTMAAGACCTTGCCTTTAACACCTAGCTTCCTGGTTTATCAAGCAGGGCTTATGCTCAACTCCCAACAGCACTGAGAAAGCCTGATTACGTCATTCCAGTGCCCAAGACTGCCAGAAGCAGAAAGCACCAGTTACAGTGCACTGAGAAGGATGTACAGGGTAGTGGATGATTAATTGGATTCCCCGCTCCCAGTATTTATACCAGAGAGTCTGTATGCCCCTTCTGCACATAGCTTTTGTCTACTTGCAAGATAGGCTTTTGCTAYGAGACACAGCAGGTTCTTTTGCTAYGAGACACAGCAGGATTCCTCAGCTCTATGTCTTACATGAGATACATGGACAGCATCAGATCAAGGAGGACTGCTGTGCTTGCTGCTCGAGTGGAAAAATGGGGATTCCTTCTCCAGTTCAGAAGTCTGTGGCTTGGAAATGYGATTTCACTTTGCTTGGACACCTGGCCGAGATTCATCATGGCCTCCACAGTTTGACAATAACTACGCTAGAATATTTGCTTGATTGTTTTCTAGTAGCTAAGGGCTCACAGATTCACTAGGACAGGTGTTTTCTTGGCTTGCCTTGCTTAGAAACAAATAGTAGAAGAAAATGAGAAGGGCGATACAGGTGTAGACAAAGTCCTCTGAATTAAGTGCTAGCAGTTGACAATTCAGGACAAAAATGCTTCTTTTGTGTTGCCATGCTTGTTAACAGAGTCCAGGTCCACACCAAGGATGTTTCAACATCACTCAGCTGAGGTCTAAAAACAAAAATTGASATAACATGCTAATGCATAAGCCAAGTAAATATTTAATTGGACACCAACAGCACCAGAAACTTCACCCATCTGTTCTTTCTGCTCTCTGGCTGGTGACTCAAGAACCRTAGTAATTCTCCCATGAAAGGAGACGAGTTCTTCACTTGCAGAAAACAAGTGACAATAACAACTTAAACCACCCTGCAAGGTGACACTGACAAGATTAGCACTTGTGGAAGTCTGATGCAGCAGCCATTAACTCCATCAAAGGAGTGTTACTGCATTCAATGGGCGGTACATGAAAATGAAAAAAGGCTGCATAGTTCAAAGGCATCAGTCATCAACTTTCCATTAAAGCATTTTAAAAAAAGCATGTCATTAACAGTGAATCACATAACTCTCCAACAGGAGTTTGCTGCATTAAATAATCACCTTCTGCTGACTGCCCATTCCCTTAGTCTCCACTGGCATAGCCCAGAGATGTTTCTGCACATGGATATCTTGGCTGTATTTCCAGGCTGTGATGAGCTTCATGCTTTCAGTCTCAATCAAGTCAGTTGAGCWATGAAACATGTATGAAGACTTGAATGAAACTGGTGAGAAAAAAGTTTGCAGCAACTTGTTATTGTAGGGGCACAAATATTGTAATAAGGTGCACAAGTAAGTGCACAAGAGGAAAAGTTCACCTAAA